TTTGGGATGGTTAAGAGAAACGGCAATGTATATCGTTTGCGAATGACAGCACAATCAAATTTCAACAATGGGTAACGAACGATCAATTCAAAAGGAACACCGTAATTTTCAAGAAAATGGCAACCGTAATATTTTAAACATTATTTGATCATTGCATTATTATATGATACAACATTATTATATTATCTATGTCTGTATACATGAAAAATAATGAAAACAATAATAATAACTCATTCTGTTTTAAATTTTCACTCCAATAAATGTTTTTTGTTTCCAAATCTGATATAAAGGTACATTTTTTTATGTGCGGCCCGCGAGATTATAATGTTTTTCCGCAGTGGCCCGCAAGGTCATTTGCGTGGGCCACCCCTGGTCTAAGGATACGTGGAATGGTCGATGGTTCAAAACTAAGCACCCTGCCAAGGCTTACAAACTGCTTCCGCCAAAGTGGAATTAAAGCTAGATGTCAGTACAGTTCTAACCCTACTGTTTAATTATACATTCATGCAATGGAGAGTAATTAAGACATTTTCCATAAATCACGACAAAGTTATTCAAATGGTAATGGCGTACTTGTCAACCAGATCCGTCATCTCAAAAAGAGAGTGACCAAAACGTCAACGGAAAAATATTCCAATCACACTCAAACTTATTGGAGTATATTAATTGCAATAAAAGCTGGAAAAACAACCTTCTCCAAGTTTCGCTCAGAAAGTCCATCAACAGTAAAAACTACTTTTTTCTGTAAGAAAAGGGGTATGCAATGGGCTCTTCTGTAGAAGAGCAAATTATAACAACAAAGAACAGAAGTAAAAGCTTTTAACGACATTACTGATCCTTTGAGTAATTGATGACGGATGTGTTAAGTTTGAGTCCCATTCAAGTGACGATTTCAATACTTGAGCTAGTACCCTTCTCTCAAAACTGCCCAACCAGGCCAAAGTGATGACTTTGAGCTTCAACAAATTTACTGTGCATCAAGCTCTCTAAAAGTGACATGAAACAATGAAATGGATTTTTAGATAGAGTTAATTTTGAGGAACATTTTAAACTAGTATTTTCATCTGCGGAAGCATCACATGGCATTGGAAGACTTTAACACCCCGTCAAGTTTCAAGTAAATTCTTCTTTGTCCTTTTCTTTGGAATCAGAACACAGAATGTGATCCCATGACCTATTAATCATGAAATTCATGATGTTTTGTGTTAAGTTAGCCAAGCTTTAAAGGAAGTAAAAAATGTATTGAAGGTGTCGGACTACGTTTGATACCGTGATTTTAAAAAAGCGCAGTAATGGATAATGTTCGTGATATTTAGTGTCACTTAGATTAGAATACATGTACAAAATTGTTTTAAGGACATTTTGACAAAAACAACTATTTAAATACAATATTTCGGCAAAAAATGAACTTAGAATAACCTTTATTCAAAATGTTCTCCTTTTGTTAAAAATGCTTCTATTATAATAATATTTTGCCTGTATATAGCTCAGAACTCTGTACAAAGGCTCAACTATGAGGCTTGAAAAATGCACATTATTTTTAGAGTTACAACCATTTGAAATAATTATCGGCGTTTTTTTCTTAACATTTCTCCCCTTTGTTGTCGTAAAACATGGATGAACCACTTCTAAGCTATATATTTCAAAACTTCTATTTGAGCCTCTGTACAGAGGTCTGAGCTATATACAGGCAAAATATTAATAATAGAAGCATTTTCCAAAAGGAATATTTAGAAATTGGTCATTTTATGTTCATTTTTGTCAAAATATTTTACTTAAATAATTTTTATTCTAATACTATTCTTAAAACAATTTTATATACATTTCTAATCTAAGTGACACTAAATATCATAAATATTATCCATTTAAAACGTTTTTTAAAATCAGGGTTTTCCGAACGAAATGGATACCTTAAGGTCGGTTATGAGGAGGAATTGATACACATAACTGTAAAGAATCAAAGGTCTTATGTTGGTGTATAGGGGATATGGAAGTGCCAGCTCGTTTTATCCCTTGTCATCCGGGGAATATTTGGGTTGCGGGGTACATTAACTGGAAAGGGGCGAAACAAAAAATCAGGTATCTTTCGAAAACGTTCAAAAAAAAAAAAATATGTAATAATTCTTTCGGGGTTCCGGCAGTCGAATGGTTAAAGTGGAAAACATCATGTTTAAGTGCGTTTCTGTCGAAAGTTAGGTTTAAATTCTAGTACCAATGAATATATGCCTTGTAGAGGGACTGATGCCGATTAAATGTCCAGAATTGAAGTTCTCAGATTGATGTTGAGTCGGAGTTTGGAGAGGGCAGTGCCAGAGCTCAAATGTCGCTTTTCAGCACGTTGCTGTTGTAGAAAATTACGATGTTTACTTCTAATGGCCCTCATGTATCTTCAAAGTACGATGTTAGTAGAGAACTACTTTACTTTATGTATGTAAATAATATTTTAAAATGTTTTTGAACTTTTTAGATAATGGTAATTCTGGAAATGTTTATACTGTGCATATAAACTAGAGGTAAAAGAAGTAAAGAAAACTCACGCGTCCACCTCGGAAAAAAATAAGTTAAAAAAGAGATAATTACTTACATGTGTTAACAAATCCGTGTTCACTTAATGCAATGATCAATTTTGTATCATCGGAAATGTGTTAAATTGCATTATACTCCCCGAAGTTGCTTTGGAATTTCAAGTAAATTAATTAAATAATTATTATTTTTGATGTAGTTCATTAAATATTAAAAATAATATTTACCCTTTTATATGAATGAGAAATAGAAAAAAAACAGGACATGGAATTTCGGAATTAAATTCAGCTTTTAATTTATATTATTGTATTATCTTCCCTTTTTTCCTTTCCCTTTCATTTTTGGCTGGTTTCTCATGAGTTCGATCCCTAAAGAGAATGAAGACCCTCCGTGTAGAGTGGTTGGAGCACGTTAAATATGTCATGTTTCATTGTCATCCAGTTTGCGTGTCATGGTAGATTGGTAAATGGGTGCTAGTCTAGTTATCTTCCTCTACACTTGACGGTAGGTCAAAATTCCAGATTAGTCAACAATAACCCTCGTTTTGCTTTAATAGTGGGACCTCAAAGAATGCTGAAACAGATAACTAAAATCACAATATCGGGTGTTTCTAAAAGAATATCGGGGTTTTAACGCTTTACAGTATTTATCACATATAAGTTACAAGTATAATTCATACATTGAATGAAAGAGTAACCGAAACATTTTTACCTACAAGTTTACAAATGTTCAATGTGAGTCCCATTCGTCCCACGGCACAAATCAAGTCGATACGTGAGTTCATCCCAAACTTTTTTCAGAGTGTCTGACGAGATTATTGCAACAGCTGTTTCCATCCTGTGTCTTAAGTCAGAAAGGTCTGCTGGTAGAGGAAGAACGTACACACAATCCTTTATGAAAACTCAGAGTTCCCACATGGTTCAGGTAGATTGAAATGGCAAGACGTTTAGGAAATTGGTCTTGTTTGGAAGTTCGAATTTTATGAGCAAGGAATATGCCAAATCTGGCATTTGTAGTCAAATAGTGGAAGTTTATAGTGAAGAAGCAATGAGCGGACAACACGTAGCGAATTGGTGTCACTCTTTTCAATCAAAAATTTCGAAAACTGAAATGTGGCAGGGAGCGGCCGGCCGAGTTCTTAAACGGCAGAAATTAACACGGCATGAATTGAAGAAATGATTCAAAATGATCGACGGCTAACTGTGAGTGAAATCACGTCAGAGCTGGGACTGAGCTGTGGTAGCATGCAGCATATCGTTTCTGATTTGCTGTGATATTTCAAAACAGTGCTGTAAAAACATCCGTCAAGACCTGGTTCAATGGACAGGGACCTGATTTCTACCAAGACGGGTAAAACAAGTTGTTTCTGTGTTTTGATAAATGCCAATACATTATGTCGAAATATGATGGGTGCGTATGCCTCTTAATTTCCTCTTGTATTTTCTGTCTATTGGTAATAAATATTTCTTTTTCGACTTTAACCTTTTTTCTGATCACCCCACGTGTAAAAAGAAGTGTTATTCCATTTACTAGACATCAGCATTTGGAACTTATATGTTTCGTATAAATAAATGGAGGTAAAAAAAAATTTAGATTTCAGAAAAAAATAATTAGAAAGACATAAAAAATTATTATAGTGGTATAAAATGGGGTAGAACACACAAATTTTTTTGAAACTACGACAAATGGAATGTCATTTTCCCAGTTTTGTGTGTTCCGCTACGAAAACAGGAAGCTCTCAACATATACTGCCCTGTTTATTTTGATAAATGGATATCGATGGAAAAAGGAAAAGAAAATACGTGTAATAATTGCAACAACACGCTGCTCCTTGTTTCAAGTATGTCACACACAAAAGAAAATTTAGACTGTTTGCTTTAAAACAAACACTACTATTATTATTGCTGTTGCAAAATACGAATAAATATTTTCATAATAAAAATATGTTTTTTTCGAAACAGTAATTCTAAAAAGAAGAAAATAAAAGTTAATATACGTGCAAGAGATTACATTATATGTCTCTTATCTGCAATGTGGATCAAATTCAACATTAAAAATAAATATTTTGATTGATTTTGTACTTTTTGTCAAAACAAGGTCTAAAATGCATTTTTGTACTAAAAAGTTTTTTTTTGTTCTTTTTTTAAAGTTTCAGCAAGTGTGTGTTAAGGGGTTTATCAAACTACAAGTAATATAAAAAAGAAATTTTTTTAAGTCAATTCCTACTTAGGTCAATTTTTAGTGTTTACCTACTTTTTATTAAATAGTTACAACTAATATAAATATGTATATACAAGTGAGAGAATCACAATATTAAGTGACAAAATAGGAACTGATTTTCCTCTTGCAATTTTTCCTTTACATATATGGTGTTGGACTATTTTTTGTTTGTTTATTACTACTTACTCATTAATGAAATTTAATTATTCTGATAAAATAGTATAGTTAAAAATAAATCACATTCTCAGAAACTAGGCTAACCTAGGTGGGATTCGAATCCACGACCTTTGGATTAGAAGTCCAACACGCTTTCCATTGCGCTACAGGGACACAGGAAACGATTTTGCTTTCTATGTATGCTGTTGGACTATTATTTTTGTTTGTTACTATTTATTCATTTTTTAATTAAATTAATGAATTAATATTTGAAAAATCTGTATTAACATCAAGTGTTATCCACTACAAGTTTAAAAAAGTATATTTGAACTTAAATGGATGAATAGAAAGTATTTTATTAAGGATTGAAAATTTGAAAAGATATATATATATATATATATATATATATATATATATATATATATATATATATATATATATATATATATAAATGTATATAGGGTAGTGAACTAATAGTAGAAATTATAAAAAAAGAAATCAAAGTTGTATTTCGCTTTCACCGTATTCTTTTAAATTATCACAAGATTTAAAATAAGTAAATAACTATGAATGGAATAGCACACTACTTTTTCAAAAATGTACAATTAAATTATGTAACGTTTTTGCAAATATTAATATAAATTAATGTATGAATTTATACATATTTTTTCTAAAGGGATACCTTTAGAACAATGCAATGCTTTTCGATTGAAAGAGAAATATAAAAGCAAAATGACGAACAACCTTGTGAAAATGATCATTGGGCAATATTTCTCAATAAATCCCTTGCCATCTGAAAGTGCTGACGGAAACCTCTTCTCTTAACATCAAAAAGCCCATCGAAGCTGAGTTGATAACAACAACAACGAAACTATATCAAAGAAAAGCGAGCAAAGAAAAAAAATATAACAGAAGTATTGATGTAGTGTTATTGTTATTAATGTGCTCCAGTGCTAAAGACTGAAGAACTAAATGCCCGATTTTTTATGATTGCTTAATATAAAACAAAATATAGATCATCAATGAAATAATTTTTCAGAAAAGAAAATATTTCGTAAAAGAGTGATTAGTAAAATAAAACTAAGATAGCCTCAAAATTATTCACACTTACATTTGTGTATTTTTGTGGATATGTACGTAACATAGGAAATAATATAGTTACACAATAGAGCTACTGGTAGATGGAATTAGACGAAAAGTACAAATGAAATGGTATTTTTCAATTCCTTCTATTCACTTATTTATAAATATGTTTGTTCAAGTTTTCAATCGTTAATAAAATACTTTTATTCATCCACGGAAGTACAAATACATTTTTTTAAAATTTGTAGTGAATGGCACGATGTTAATACAGTTTTTTCAAATATTAATTCATTGATTAAATTTTATTCTTTAATTTTAAAGTAATTCTGCGTTATTTCTGACGAATTTAGTGCTTCCATCAACAGATGGTGCCAGTAAGTTTTTCTAACGAATTTTTTCTCGGCTTCAAATATATATTTTTAAACTTGTAATGGATGACACTTGATGTTTTCCGTTTTCTCAAATATTATTTCATTAATTAAGTTTAATTAACTAAAATAAAATGTTTCTTTGTTGACCTAAGTAGGAATTGACTAAAAAAATTTTGTTTCAAAACTTTTACTTAATTTTCTTCAGTGAAATCAAAAGATTACTCAGTGGTTCTTCGGAACTTCATGGTTTTTTTTATCATGTTGCAAAGACTTCAATCATCTCGGGCGTTAAAAAAACCATAAATATGTTCCAGAGTAAATGAGAATTTTAATATCTTAAATTACTTTCATATAACTACTGATCGTAGGCTTCAAAGTACGAATGATAATGAAATTAGAAGTATAATTTTTAGCAAACATTTAACTCTCCCATTTAAAGCCATAATATAATTAATATTTTTTTAAACATCTTTTATTTAACGTAATGATCTCTTATGTTTAGATTTTTTTTTTATAAAATTAGTTGGCTCGGTCAGAGGAAACAAGTAGTCCCCAGTGGTTCCCATCCATGGGGGTGCCTGGAACGAAGTTGCTGATGAGCTGGTGGTGGGGGTTGTGATCTCTGTTTTCCACTTTTTTAAACCCCATTCGAAATTCCTTCCTTCCAAGGAAAAAAAAAGAATTTGGGCGAAACCCTCCTGCTCCCCACTGGTAGGGCCCCCAAGAGTCCTGGCCATCTATAAGGCAGGAGTTCCGGGGCTCATCAGAGGCCTTGGCGCGCTTTAGAAGGGTCACCTGCGTAATATGATTTTTGTGAAAGGGGAAAAAGTTTTTCTTTACCTGTCCCTCCCCCTCTTCCTGCCCATCTTCTGACTGCGGGGGAATTTCCCCGACAGTTGTATGAACAGAGCCCGGTGTTTAACACTATTACCGGAATGGTCAAGGACTTGGTGTAGGCTTTCCTGCTCCAAGGGATTGGAAACAACAACAGATTCAGAATGAAACAATCCAAAGTTAATATATCTTGATTATAAAAACACTTTTTCAATGCACAACTGTAAAATATTCAAATAAAATCTTGAGATAAATTGTTGATGATATTTGAAGTAATTAAATTAGTACAGCACACACACACAATAGTTTTTCCAATCAATTGATTTATAGAACATGATGCTTTTTAAAACTATTTAAATGAAAATTAAAAATTTTAGGTTTTTGATACCCACATGAATTCACCCAAAATAAGGGAAACCTTTTTCTAAAATTATATGAACTTTAATACCCCGGCAATTAAAAAAAATGCAAATTTAGTAATGTTTTTTAAATTAGTTGTTTGATTATGATACAAATTATTGGTAAATAAAAGTTTGAACTTTTTTGCTCTCATCATGTCTTTTTTCTTTTTGAAAATCTTTTTTGTTAGTTTAATTAGTTAGTTAAATCTTTTTGTATGTTTTAGATTTATGGTATCATCAGTTTTGTCTCAAATGTTTTGATGGGACAGGGACAAGGGGGTTTGATTCAAGATAGCTTCTTTCATTCATGCAAAGAGATGATACATTATTACTAAGCTCAAAAATATAGAACACCAAAAATAAACCATAATTTAATGTGTAAAAATCCCTTTAACATAGATTACATTTCTATTATCTTAATTGCCATTACATGGAGAAACTAAAGTATTATCTCAAAAGCATATTAATGCATAATTTCTTAAAAACCCATGATACAAACTTGTTGCTGAAAACCAAAGGCATCCTATTCATGAATAAGATCTGTTAAATATGTCAAATATTGTTCATTTTTAAAAAAAAATTTATTTTAAAAAAAGAAATAATCTTTTTAAATATGAAAGGTTTCACAAGATTTTTTTTTGGGCTCAGAATAAAAACAGGTAAGAAAATTCAAATTTATCACATAAAAACTAAATTCTGTTTTGCCCCGAACTTTTACTCCCAATTTTGGATTTAACACAAATTCGAAAAAAAAAATATTTTTTTTATACAAGTCTTGTTTTGATTTCCCCCAAATCGAAATTCAAAAGGGAAAAGTTTTGCTTTACTTTTTGCCTTAACTTTGGGAACGATTCTAACGTGTACCACAATTTACATTTGTGAGAATTCTCCAAATTTTCCAGCCTCAATATAAAATTTTGTTTTCTTTGCATATATCAAGATATCAAACTTATGACACTAAACACTACGTTTGAGATACACGAAAGAAAAAGAAATCTAAAAATGGTTCCAGACGAGGAGATGTTAAACTGGTGTTCATCAGTACCTGCACAATGGTCTAGTCAAAAGACAAACACAGCGATTCATTACTAAATTTTCCCTTAAATAAGTGCTTCACAAACTTTGAATACTTGCAACTTAATTTTCAATCATAATTTTTATCGCGGCCCTTCAATACAATATCAATGTATTGAATTCAATAATAATGCTTTTGACGCTAAAACTACAACACGAATTTAATTATAAACCGTCAAATTATATCAATATAAGTATTAAATTTTATATATGACAAGCTCATAGGAGTTACTTGTAATTATTTAATCTTGCCCTGAACTTAGTATTATATAATAATGTAATTAATAATTACAATGTGTAGTTCTGATATGCAATTATAAGTATATCATATCAATGTAAATGCATATTTTACTTTTTTATGTCAGAATGTGTATTATTTTGCTTCCTTTCAGTGAATTTGTAATTTTTTTATATCTTTTATTTTCGACTTCTCGATATGCTCGAACCCCCCCTGTATAGTTATTATGCCCCCTGAGGGGGAACCCCCCACAGTTTGAGAAATGCTGTCTTAAATCCATTGAAACATCTGCATTACAGGAGTATGATCCTAATTTTGTTCAAAAAAATTTGAAAATTTTCAATCGAGCCAAAAAATGATAATTAAGCTAATTCTAGTCTTAAGCACGCGTAATCGTTTATTGACAGAAAGTGACAACGAAAAGAATTCTTTTTGTGGGTAACTCATGTTATATTGCCTAATTTTTTTTGTTCATGAATTAGTGACGTGTTTTTTTCTTTTTTCATATGACAATATGATTTGCATCATACATGTACAATCCGTATGGCATAAAATGTTTAAAATCTGTTGGGTTGAAGCGAGTGAACTTTGTTTTCTGACGGAAGGATAAGTGTGTAATTCACCCACTCGCATTTTTACCACTTCCTCCCTCGCATTCCTTCTAAATGTGACGTCTATCGCGTCTTTCTCTAACATAACTCCTATGTTTTTTGGCCCCGTTTAAATGCAAACTTTTCCAAACCCCAAAACCCCAAGAAGATAAACGAACATAATATTAAATGAGATATACTAAAAAAGGATAAAGTTTTAGATAAGATATAGCGTGGCAAGCAGATATGGGGGAAGCTTAGAGATAGTAGTGTGGAATTATTCTGATCGATAGCGTGACAAGGCTTTTAGAAATCTTTCAGATCAAAAAGGGTTAGCAGTCCGATATTTTTGGGAAAGAATAGAAGCCTAAGATAAAGAAGTTGGAATCATCATATATAAAGTTCATAGATATCATTCTCAGGTAAAGGAAGGAGACTGAAAAAGGTAATATTAGATATAAGTAATTTAATGAATAATTATTAATGATAATTGAGATAAAGGATCTAGTTGCGTGATCTGACTTGAATACGTGGTTTAATTTGGGCGTTGACCCCACTTTAATTAAAATTGTCAAATTAGAAT